ACCTTGTTGTGAGCGGCTTCATGTAGGAGCTACAACATTTTATTTCTACCAAAAAACACCAGCCAACTTTATTACCACACAAAATAAAGCGTGTTCCATTATATTAAAGAGAAGGCAGTAATCTCTACAGCAGATATCGCCAGCGCTCAGCAACTCACAGCAAAATAATCTAAATTGATAAGTAGCACTACAGTTAAGAGGAAAAATATGTATTTTTGATTTGGGGTTGAACTGTCCCTTTAAATTAGCAAGCACAATTTAAAATGGTTACTTCAGTGCTCAAAACACAGACATTTAAGGTCTGCAAATTAAAAACTTCTGATCGAAACTTGTCGTGAAATGAATACCCTGAAGATACATTCCTACTGTATTCATTCCCTGTAACTTTATAGACAGAAAGCATAGCAATACCTACCCCTCAAGCCCTCCATGCCAGAACAAGGTATAGAATAACACAGAGGAAAGTATCTGGGGGCACTATAATTGTTCAGAAACAAGAGACATATTTCCGCAAGCAATCCCAGGTGGTCTGCCGTCCCACGTCCTCTGATACTCATGAAAAGTCATTTTTCTTTCTGCTGCATTCATACCGAGGACATAAACTGCACTGGAGCCCGTCGCACCAGACCTAGATTGATTCAATGTGTGACTCTAAATGTGATCTGAGGACAGCGTGTAGAGCTGATGAAGGTGCTGAGGGCTCCCGCAGTGGAGGCAGAGTTGGTGACAGTAAAGCATCTCAGCTCTCACACTGCGGCCTTTACTCCAAATGTGCTGTTGCATGTGTATGTGTGTGTGTGTGTGTGTGTGTGTGTGTCTGCATTACATGTGGGAGTGATCTCTAAGAAAACATTATGTAAATATGTGGCCGATCAATCAGTCAATCGGTCAGTCATGAGCTCATGTAAATCACTTTCCCCTCAGACCAGCCATCAATATTACTGTTTCACTGCTTTTTACACAACCAGATTAATGCTTGTTAAGAAAAACAGGACTGACGTGAATGTCCTCGCCCCGGCTGTAACCCGAGAGCCTCAAGGTGGTACTGAGGGAACGCCAGGGGCCCAGAGTGTGAAAAGGGTCCAGTCAGGCTTGGCCTGAGCCACACAGACCACTACTCACTCCATCCACAGCCTCTCACAGTGGGATCCAGCCATCTGGACTCATTTCGGCGCTAACAGGGTGGCTCTCAAGGCCCATCTGTATGAGGGTTGCATTCACAGTGGGCCCCAAGAATGTGCTTGTCTGGGAGAGAACTGAGCAGATTTAAGGGATGAAGGCGCAATGCGATATATCTTTTCATCCCGTACACTGGAGCATGTCATTTCATCAACATCTGTATTTCATTTTTAGTGCCCTGGTCAATCTTGGGTTCAGTCTGTTTGTTTTTAGGCACAAAAATAGGCCTCAAATCACTTGGTTATTGCCTGTTGTTGAGTCAGATACAAACACATGCAAGACATGAAATATGTTTTATAAAACATCTCAAATCTTTCTTCCCTTAAACTCAAACTACAATCCAGAATGGCATAGAAATGTTTTCATGATTCCAGAATAGCTGAAAACAGATGATGATACAGATTTTTCTGTATTTGTGTCACCAGTTAACTTCTAGTCAGTGATAGCTGTAACATCTCACAGCCCACTCTCATCATATTTCCTGTCTAGATCTTCAGTGTCAGAAGATCAGAAATTATCATCCCGTGTTTCTGAGCATTGCCACGCTGTGTTACCCAGCAAAAGTAACCTACCGTCTTTCCAGAGTTTGGTTAAGACAGCCCAAAGGGGTCCATACTGTAGCAGAGCAGTAAATCCAGACAGGCCCTTGCTGCATGCATTACTGCCATTCCCGCGCCTGCAGCGACAGCTCAACCCTATTAGCTGTTCAGTCACTATGGCAACTAGTACTAAAACCCCAAAAGAGCCGACAGGAAGGGGTCAGAGGGCAACAGCAGGTCATACGGCAGATAACCATCACATGTCTCGCCTTGGATTCTGGGTCTACTCACAGGGAAGGCATACTGTGACCTACTGTGGATAAAGGTGTATTGCATGGTTGACCTGGTTCTGTTGCTGAAACTAAAACAAAAAAGTACTTCTTTCTAATGAGGCGCTCATTATACATGGTTTATGAGTTGCAACTAATTTATTAATGGTTTATAAATCATCTATGACTACTTAGATCAGTTATAAGCTATTAATAAGAACAATGTTTGAGTTTCCATGTTATAATAAATTATCTCTGGTTGGCTTATCCACCATTCAACTACTTACCTGTAAAACATCTGGTCTGCAATTCATTTACAATATTTATTATTTATTTATTATTATTATAACAATTTATTAACATTTTCAAAGGCGGGATCAGCTCAGTCACCTGAAGAAAAAAATTGTTACACTGTACAAATTCTTTACATTTGCAGGTTTCATACATACCAAATCAACATTTATAAAGTAATGCAACAAGCTGACTTTGTCATGAGGAGATGGATGGGTCAGTGGATGGTGTGACAGTTAGGTCTACTAAGCTGCATGAAAAGCAAATGTTTTTTACCGAGACAACACTGCTTTTCGAGACAGGATTGTGCCCACAAAACACTATCTTTACCATAACCAAGTTTTTTTGTGCCTAAACCTAACCACACATTAACCGCAGCTTTGAAAAAAGTAAAGTTTTATCATATCTGCTGCAAAAAGGTGTACCAGTCTAAAATATCCATGGTATGCCAACATTTCTTCTGGGGATTGAGTTGGCAGGCTTGAGACGCTGTAATGCAAACAGTTTATTAATGACTTACCAACATTTGTATCTGCAGAATTATTAAAGATAAAAACCAGCCAAAGGGATTTTTTCAAATGTTACTCCCATGGCTAATAAATGACTAACAAGGCATAAGTAAATCATTTATTAACCATTTATAAAGACAAATTATAAACACTTTATAAATGGTGTCTTATAACAAAAAAGGTCTGGCACTGGTTGAAAATTTGTAAAAATGCTCATTCTAGGAAGCAGCTGAAAAAGATGTTTTTTGTTCACCAAACCGGTGGAGGCTCATCACAGTCTAGACGACAAGCAGAGGGTTTCTCTAATGACCTATGAGGTGGTGTGGAAAGATGTGCCCATCTGAAGTGGGGGCTACTCTGAGCAAAGACAGAAAATTATATTTAATTGTTGAGAACATTTTCAAAACAGTTTTAATAATTAATCACAGAAGAAAACAGCAGCTTACCAGCTTTGCTTTATCAATAGAGAACCTTTAGTTTCTAATGATCAACAGTCTAACGCCTACATGAAGTATCCACTGCACTGACAGTGTGCCATGTATAATTGACCAAACATTGCCTTGCAACCTGCATAAGACCTGTATCTTTCCCCCTCTGAGACTGTGATCAATAAGCTCCTTTTCTGGATACGATACACACAACATTCATCTTCCATGCAGGCGTCTGCCAGCCTTTACACTGAAACCCCTTTTAATCACATCCCCGGGGCCTCCACAGTTTTTTTTTAGTGAAAATAAACCTAATTCTCAGGACTGTGACACATCACCATGTGCTGATTTTACTGTAGGCATCCCTGTATCTGTGTTACATTCTTACGGTGCTGTTGCAGTGAATGCATAAGTACATTTCATGAACAAATGCGCCCAGTGTTGCATAATCCTGCCTTGAGGATGAAATGGTATCAGAAACAACAGTGCATCAAAGACTCCAATGTGAGTCCATCTCCTGGTAAAAACCTTTTGTTCTACTGCCTTTTGCTCTGAGCTTTCCAGCATAAATCTATTCTCATTAGTTACCTGGGGTGCAGGAGCTGAACATGGCAGTCCAATACAAGCAGGCAGCGTCCCCCAGTGGTGCGTTGCAAAACAGTGTGGAAGAACTGGTGGAAAAAAGATACAAGTTGGTCAAGTGGGAAGGCCTGTTAGTGGTGCTTGCTTGGCCAATCAGCAGCTTTGGGGCTTTCCATTGGCTAACAGGGAGTTGTCAATCAAATCCTCCAGAGGATGGTTTTCTGTGGTCTCCTCAGTGCTGTTTAGGAGGTCGTGGAGTGAAGATCCCTCCGTGAAAACCCACGTTTAAGCACTTTATTAGGCTCATTCACACTTTATAGTAGGATACACTCTTGGACTGTTTTTTACTCCTGTAGGTGGTTATGTATTTCATGTGCATGACATTCCCTTTAGTAAAATATTGATAAAATTTAATAAGTTTTATTTTAAAAAGAAAGAAAAAAAGAAAACCCATGTGTTTACACTGAAATTGCAATATCACAGCATAAAAATACGCCATTGCAGGTAAAGATCCTGCATTCAGAAGCTTATTTAACTAAAAGTGTGAGCAACAAAATGCAAGTAGGCCTACAGTAAATTATTATTAAAGTATTAAAAGTAAAAGTTCTCAACAATATTAGGCAGAACTGTACAGTTCAGCATAACATTATCTTCATCATATATGTATATTTTTACAATATTATTGCTGCAATATGAAGATTTGAACTACTTTTAATACTTCTACGTGATAAATGAATCTATAAAAATATCATATTTCATAATATTCATGTTTTTATGTTAAACTCCATCGCTGCAAAGTAACTTAGTGCACACTACAGTGGTAAAAATAGATGTAGTGTAGTTAAAAGTAAATACTAAAATTGTACTTTAAATTATAATATAATATAATATAAATGGTGAAGCTCGTGCATCTATTATTGTTTTGCATTAAAAAATAGGCGCTCACATCGATGATATTTCTAAATGCAGATGTGTGATAAGGTTTATGTTGCTTCTTCAGTCACAATGATCAAAAGCATCAAAAGAATAAAAAACCTGGAACCAGTTTATAATCCCAGTGAGACGTGCAAAGTGCACTCAGTCCCCTGCCATACCCAGCTGACGCCCATGGGTGGCAGGGCTGTTCCGGACCACTGGACGGGGGGGGACGGACTTCTCTCTGATTGGTCGGCGGTGTGCGCGTCCCCGTCGTCTCCTCCCGGTTTTCCTGGCATGACCTTTTCCCTTGGCAACCACTTCCTCCGAGCATCCACGGCCATCTTTAATTTTAACTCATTCATGAAAAGTTGTTTGGCTCATGTAAACACGCCGAGCGACACGTTTTGCGCACGAAGCAGCATCGACGGCGCAGTGTACATGTAGTTATCCAGCGACCTGCTCCAAACAGAGCCGAGCAGCACCGCAGCAGGCTGTCCGCCGAGACTAAGTAAACACCGAAAGCGTACGTGCATTATTGTTCAGTGTAGCGTCTTGTGCATCACTCAGGGACGTTTCCGCACATGTTTTCACGCTGCTGTTTGCACATTATGCTCTTAGATAAACTGTGTGAATGAGCTGTACACGTGTGTGGATACTAACGTGTTGCGTTTTGGACGGAAGGAGAAGTGTATTGTGCTCCCGAAAGAGACAGCAGGTGGAGCGCTAGAATAAGTGTGTGGATCATTGTCTGAAGGGCACAGCTGAGTAGTCACCACTGCCATGTTGATCTGCACATATCACAGCAACATTAAGATCAAAGTGTTCATTTATGACCTCACTGAGGAGTTTTATAAAACAAATTAGACACTTAAGTTTTGCTTTCACATGCTCGTGAGCTGCCAGCAACACCAGCTGGTTGTCATTCATTTGTTTGTGATCCATGGCAGGATGAGAAAGAAGCAGACTGCCAAACAGAGGAAGACTGAGGAGACTACAGTTGTCCAGGAGTTTGTGGTGGAAAAAATAATCCGCCGCAGAATCTTTAATGGAAGAGTGGAGTACTTCCTGAAGTGGAAAGGTTTCACTGAGTGAGTGCTTGCTTTTATAGTATGATTTTTGTTGTCATGCATGATGTTAAAATGTGCTCTCCCCTCCTTACAGTGCAGAAAACACATGGGAACCTGAGGACAATCTCGACTGCCCTGAACTCATTGAAGAGTTTTTGAGAAACACCCATTTCTCAGAGGGGAATGAGGAAGAGCTAAACGAACAAGAGTTCATTCCTAAAGAAGAAATGACAGAGCAGGAGACGGAAATTGTGAGTATGTGAGCTATGCAGTGCTGGAGGGGCTGTAAATGTATGTTGTTTCCATGTTATTCACGGAACTTCCTCACCTAAATCTGTAAAAAGGAAAAACAACAACTTATTGTTAGGATGCTTTTTCTGTAGTGTGTGACAGTCTGAAAATCCAGGAAGCCTTGTGTTAGAAAGAAGCCGCGCTGAAGTCGAGTAAAACCATCTGACCATATTGGCAGATTATGTTCCTACTTTTTTAGAGTTTAAAGGCTGAATATGAAACTAAATGGTGTGTGAAGGTGGCTAGTTCCACAACGTCCCTGAAAGTGAAAGCAGTAAAAAATTTCCTTTTTTTCGCAGTGGGCTTGTATGGTAGAAATGCGGATGTTGTCTTTGTGGTTTCTTCTAACTGCTTGTCCTCTGTCCTTGTCACTCTCCTTGCAGTCCTGCATGCAGTCTCAGCAGCAGGCTCACACTGTGCAGAGCAACAGCGAGCCAAATGACGAGCAGTCAGACACCCCCACCGACCTCAGCACTTACCTCGAGCCTGAATGCATCATCGGCTCCACAGACAGACAGGGAGAGCTCATGTTTCTCGTCAAATGGTAACTGCACCACTTCCTCTTTTGTTTCTCTGCCACGGGTTGACTAAATGTTTGCATGATGTTCGCGTTTAAAGCTGCAGTCTAAATGTTCAAACTACCGAAAGGACGATGGAGCATCTAGTGTCAGGTTTATTAGGGTGTTGTTGTAGGCACGCAGTGACAACCTCAGTAATGTTATGCAAAATGAATTTATCATTAACTAAAGAGACAAAGTCTTACAACATTTTCAATGACCACCTGACGAAACAGACCTCAGATTAGTAACTGATTATGCGAACATACAGTACCACCATGAAAAAGAAGCAGTACGCCCTCACAAATGCAGCCACTCACTTTTTATTTTTTAAACACAGGGCTGTTTTGGTCTGATAAGATAGTTTTAGTTGCATTATGGGAAGTGGAGGACCTAGTGTTTTGGAACTTGATGCATACAAGCCAAGGCAAGCTTACTTTGCTTATTAGCACCTTTTAATCACAAAGGGAAATGAAACTGCTTTACCTGATAGGAAGAAATGCATGAGAACATTTAAAACAATAAAATAGGAAAAATCCATTCAAGTAGATTAAAATAAGATTAACTAGAAAAGTGTACTCAGTAGAGTGCCAGTCTCTTATAGTCAAAATGGCAGCAAAGATAGCAAAAAATGGGGATTTTAATCAACTCATATCATGTCTAACTTTAGTGGATCATAACATATCAGGTATCTGTAGATGCTTGGGTTCAAAATGAGACCAAACTTTTTATGGATATCAGTTTTTGAGCCATGATCAAGGCCAAAATGTGGCCTGCAGCAGATGTTAAGACTTGTTTTTAGCAGAGACGGTTTCTGGAAAACTTGTGGACCCCTTACCGGCCGGTTAAGAGGAGTAAGGTGTCCAATGACTGTGTAAAATGGTTAATAAAACAGGTTCTTCAACAGTTGTGAATTGTAAGAGATCCTTGAGCATGCAGTTATTTATGTGCAGACAAAATATGAGGCTGATTGGTCCAGTAGTTTGCGAGATTAGCTGCCGACAGAGAGAGACACACACATGCTTACGCCTAGCAGAGACAATAAAATACAACACAAATGGACAAAAAATGATCAACCAGAAACTCAAATATCTTTTGTGAGTCCCCAGTTTTAAGGACATGCAGTGCTTAACATCTGCATCACCCATTTGAGGCATAATAACTGTCTGGATATTTCAGAAGTACAGAATTCACAGACTGATTGCACTTCCTCTTCTCAGTACCCTTTACCAAACTGGCAGGAGTGTGTGCTGCTGCTGGAACATTTCTACAAATTTCCATTTTTTGCGTGTTTCCCCACAGGAAGAACTCTGACGATGTGGCCCTGCTGCCGGCCCGCGAAGCCAGTGCCAGGTGTCCCCAGGTGGTCATCGACTTCTACGAGCAGAAGCTGACCTGGCACTGTGGAGACGAGGAGCAGTGAAGTGTGCGCGCGGGTTGTGTACAGAGGCGAACTGATAAACAGCTGCGCTCTCACCTAAAGCTTAGTTTAACCTCCATCGAGTGTCCTCCTTCAGCTGACATTAGAGGCATGCTGTGTGAAATTACGCCGCAGGTAGAGTCTCTGGCAGGTGCGAGATCCTCAGCGGGGATGGATTTTATAGTGCTCCCAGTCCCGTGGTGCTCAACGAGGTCTTTGTGCCTTTGCGGAGATTGCGATGGAGACTGAAACTAACCTTCTGTGTAGAGCAGCTGATTTGAGGTCAGACTAACTTGTAGCAGCTTTGGTCTCGCGTAAGCGGACACAATCACTGTGGACATGTGTTTTGTTTTTATTGTTAGACAGTAAGTTAGTATTTATAGTCCTGTTTAGCTACATCTTGGTTGTTTAGTGTGTGCTTTATATCTTTTATAGCAACACTCTGTAGGCAGAGTGAACTAACAGCTGTCCGACCCGTACCTCCAGTCCATGTAGCTATTAGTCAGAGCTGAAGATTGTAGACCTGTTGTTCGAACGTCTGGTGTTTGAACTTGTATTGTGTGAGGTGTTCATAGTCACAGCCTTTACTGTGTCTTACTGTGTTCTTGTATGACCATTGTGTTTGATGTCAAATATTTATAAAATGTTGCCCGCCATAAATTCCCCCACATTTCCAATCAGCTGCTAAGTACCAAATATTTTCTCCTCGTGAGTATTGAAATATAATAAGAATATGGTTGAGTTTTCAAAAAATAGTATTTGGTGTTCACACAAAGTGACACGCTGACAGAATGAATCAAAAGTCCAAATATTTCTAAAATAAATCTATTAAGATTTACACAATAACCTTTGTGTGCCTGTGATGGCTAATAAGATTGTAAAATGTAGCACTTTAGATAGGAGACTGTCCAATTTTGCGGGGCATCGTCCTCCAATAATTATACAGGTCCATGACACCTGTATCCTGATGGCACTGTCCTGACTTGACATATCTCCCATGACTGTTATGGGACACTCAGCTAACCCTTAGACCTCCTAAAACATACCTGCTACTGAATTACTGTAACCGTTGACCATGGATCTGTGAAGTCTCTGTGAATAAAGGAAACCTTTTTGTGAAGCTTTTCTCTTCAAGTTTTTTATTGTCACATTTGTCACGTGCTGAATCATGTGAGAGAGTAGAGAAGGAAAAACTTTATTGCCTGCTTTTAGCATGCAAAAGCATAATTTGTCTTTGGTTTGCACATGCGCGAAATCTGTTATTAAAAAGACAAAGTTAATACACATAGGACACATTAAAAAAAAAACACACAAAGTGAAAGTTACATTAAAATGAGCAGCAGGTTCTCAATAATGAGGACTCAATGAAGGTTGAATGAAAGTGCTGTTTGCTGAGGTGGCAAACTAATCATACATTTTCTGTCCAAACTGATCAACAGAGGTGGGACCAAGTCATTGCTTGGCAAGCCACAAGTAATTCTTGTGTCTTTGCACCAAAGTCTCAAGTCCTGTCCCATGTCAAGACATGCAAGTCAAATCCCAAGGCCTTAACTTTGAGTTTCAAGTCCTGAACAAGGCGAATGCACTCTTCGCCAAATGTAATGCCATCTTAACAACACTAAAAGTTAAATTCACACAAATTATGTATGTGTTTTAGAATTGGAATTTATTTGTTATAACAAGTTTGTTAAAAAGTATGAAACTGTTTAGCTAATGTTAGCTAAGCAATAGCTCACTAACTTTGTTAATATTAGCCTGGACTTATGTTTATTGTGCAACTTCAAATGTCAAACAAAGTTGGAGGTTGTTGCCTCTCCATCTGTAATTTTCATATGTGATGAGGTCGGAGTGAGAATGTGTCAGTTGACCACCACAGAAATTTTATAGGTGAATTAAATTATCTTTGGTGTCGTTTTTTCCAACTGACACTCAGTAACGTAACGTTAGTTCTTCATGGTTGTCTCCTGCGACTTAAGTGGTTGCTCTCAGATTGGTTCAGACAAAGTGAATCTGGGAAATGAAGTCTTGCTGGGTATGAATAGTGTGAGTTGAATCACCGTTAGTTGATTCAGGAAATGAAGGGAAATGATTGATTCGTAGCCCAAAGATTTAAAATTAGGCCTACATAGGCTACTTTTAAATCTTTGGGCTTTGGGGAAGGTATCAAGTATTTTCAAGTCAAAAAGTTCAAGTTCAAGTGAGGTCACAAGTCACTGGTGTAAAAGTCCAAGAAGTTTTTTTGATTTTGTCAAATCAAGTAAGTCATCAAATTTGTGACTGGAGTTCAAGTCCTGTGACTCAAGTCCACTCCTCTGCTGGTTCAGAAGCTGGCAACAGGGAAAATTATTTTCCATAGATGTTTTCTCTGCTAGTAACATCAATTACAACAGTAGCTAAGGCGTTGGGGGTAGTGACAGTTTCTAAATGACAGTCAATAAGCAATACATGTGATAAGAGGTAGTAGTCGGCTGTGGTCATGTTGGCACGGATAGTTACAAGGAGGAGCTTATCTCAGTCTTGTGACTTTATTTTGGAACCTTTGCTCCTGGACAGTAAAAGTTAGAAATAAAAGGCACTGGCACAATGCACAACGCAGCATTATCTGGCTGACTTTAACGTTAGTGAGAGTCAAACAAGATTATTGGAATTATGAGAGAAGAAACTGACAAGGCTGTGAACCAGGTAGGTCTGAAGTTATCCTGTTATTCTGATGAGATTTTTAAAAAGTTTTATTGTTATTAAAAAATGTTGATATGTCACATGTTGAGCTCAAAAGCTCTAAAATCTGGTTCAGCCTTAAAGACAACTTGTTATTTTGTCTTGAGTAATACTGGATGTTTAATGGGATTTTCCAATCCTGATTCTAGCTCTGTTAGTCATTGCACTTCCTCTATCTGCCAATAAAACACTTCCTCTTTTTCACAACACATTCAGTTCAGTGCTTCACTGTCTCTCCTGCCTTCTCCATGCAGCAGGTGATCAGTGTCTGGGTGCGGGACCCACGGATACGAAAGAATGACTTTTGGCATGCCTACATAGACTACGAAATTTGTTTGCATGTAAGTAGAATGATGAAAGGAAGCTGTTTTATTTTCCTTCAGTCAAATAGTGCTGTTAATGTAATGTGTATTGTGGTTGCATCTCGTTTTAGACCACCAGCGTGTGCTTCACCAAGAAGATCTCAAGTGTGAGAAGGAGGTACAGTGAGTTTGTATGGCTCAGACAGAAGCTACAAGCAAATACACTGCTATTGTAAGTCAGTTTTATTGTATTTTGAAATGACATTTTGAGCAAAAACAGAACACATGCTTTTAGTTTTCATGTTAAAAAAAATCTGCACTATGGTTCCTGTCATTTTGCAGGGTACAGCTGCCAGAGCTGCCCCCGAAGAACCCCTTCTTCAGCCTGAACAACGCCCAGCAGATCACTGAGCGGATGAAAGGGCTCCAGAAGTTTTTGGAACAGTAAGAATCATCTCACAGATCAATGAACACATGAACTTTGACATACTGCAACACAAACATAACAATGCTGATGAATCAGAGTTCCCAGAAACAGTGACACGTGACTGCTTTTCTCACACAAACAGGTAATACAATATAGGCAATGGTGAAATCTGCACTCAAGTAAAAGTGCAAGAACTACCGTAGAAAATTACTCAAGGAAAAGGGAAAATTAGCTTTTGGGAACATGTTTCTGTTTCAGTATATTTTTAAGATATTTGGGTCAGTGAAAAATGATGAAAAAACATTTTTTTATAAAGTTCTTTTAAACTAAAGCATACAGGCTTTGTCTATTTTGGTATAAAAAGTGTGGCAAGATGTGACTGGTATTTTTGCCTCTTGTTCTGGGTTTTACTCTGTCATCGTGTCATCGTGGTCAAAATACAGGATGTGATTCTTTTCCTTAGAAACAGCTGGCAGCTTTGCCTCTGCACATTGAGAATAGGCTAGTTTAATAAAGGTATAAAAGGCAGAGTAAAAAGAATTACTGGCTCAAAATATATATTCAAGAGAACAGTTTTTAAGAGAAACATGAAAAGTTCCTTTGAAAAAACAAACACTTTTGCATTATTATCCACCCCTGACTATAGGCTACTGTACACAGCAATGTGATTTCTTTATTGCCCTTATTCTCCAGGACCCTGCAGAGCCCTCTGCTGCTGTCCGACAGTTGCCTTCATCTTTTCCTGCAGTCACAGCTCAGCATATCCAAGATGGAGGCCTGTGCTACTGGGAGGACCCACTACTCTGTGGCCCAGGCGGTCCAGCGCTGTGGCCTTAGGCGATTCCACTCTGAGGAGGATCTGCAGAAGGACCTTAGCATGTCCTGTGACTCTGACTCAGACAGGTATTGTAATGTCAAACTTTTGGGAGTTTTTCCTCCCCTCAACAACTCAGCTTTTTCCCCCAAACCAATCACCAGAGTCATTTTTTTGTATTCACTTTTTAAACACAAAGGCAAAATATGCTTTTAAGAATACACTCAGTGATTTATTCTCCAGGACATGAGAACCTCCTCTGCTTCATTCTACAAATATAAATGATAAAATTCACTTTCCATCCACAGTTCTTGTCTCTATCATTCCAGCTCAGAGTGTCAAGATCCAGAGCTTCGGATTAAAGATTTGGCTATAAATAAATCAAAGAGTACAGCTTTACTTGATCTCATGGGAACCCGGCAGGAGGCAACCCTCAGCTCCTCATGTGGCTCTACATAAAAACATCATCATCATGATCATCGGCACAAATGTTTGGACCTGTGAGGAAGAAATTTGCCTGTTACCCTGTCATACTGCACTTTTGGCTGCGTAGTAGCTTATGATTATCTTACTTATAAAAAGTCATTGTGTTTTCATTAAGGCGTTAGTTTGAAACCTGTACAGTAAATAATAATAAAATGTACCTATTGTGTTGTTTACTACAATGTGTTCTGTCTGCTTAGCTTTAAAGTTGTAGCGACAATCTGCCTGAAGATGGCAGTGTTGTTACATCAATATATGTGATTATTCACTTATCCTATGAACATATGCTGTAACTGTCCATATTTACTCCATAAACAAGCCTAACAGAAGCATGACTAGTTATGGTCATTCACAGGGTGTATTTTTGCCAGATATGTGCAGATAACGATGCAATATCTTCAGCAGTGACAGCCTGATGTCTCTCTGTGGCTGAACTCCCCCTCCTAATAAAGTGTTAGGTGTGGGAAGCTTGTCATGTGGTGGCCACTGCAGTGCTTAGCAGTGTGACGTATAATAGGGTCTCTGCAGAGTTTTCAGACGGCCCCCCTGTCAGGTGTGTGGCTGGTAGGAGGTCCTGCAGGATCCCAATGGACTCGCTCCTGTCTGAGAGGGCCACCAGGTAGACAGGTTGCATTGGTCCCTGCTGAGCAAAATGCCAGCTGCACTGACAGGCCACCTTTTCTACCTGTCCTCCTCTCGCTTTGTATTTGTACGAGCCATTTGTATGACACATATTTCCGTGTGTCTGCGCATGTGTGTGTGCGTGCTGAACACATATATGTGCTCCCACAGTGAGCAGCACCATGCTTATGCAGAGGTAATGACCACTAAACAGAGTGACGGCAGGCTGACATATCTGCACAGCTAATTAGATTAGCTTTGTCTCTCTGCAGCGGCTGTGATATTCATTATAGATTCAGAGCAGACAATAGGCTTGTGTTGCAGAGAACAGAGAGGAGACAGCACCTCAGACCTGCTCCGAGCAGCAGCACAGATTGGACAGTAGGAAAGCCCACTAACTCAAATTGGGGGTGGGTGTCTTTCCTGTTAGACGTGTGGGTGTATGTGTGTGTCCATGCACATCCACATATGCTAATGTAGTTATACATGTGTCTTCTTTGTCAGTGCTTAACTGTGTGGTGCAGCTTCAAACACATCCACTGAGGCTGCCAATGCTGTCTATGTTTGCTTTAGCTGGATATTCAAAAGAGGTTAATGCCTCTAAAACATCCAGAAAACACACCTGAAGTGCCTGGGTGTATTACTGAACGGGCCTACCTGGCCCAGGCCAAGGGGCCCAAGGGCTCAGGGGGCCCCTAAGCCTCCTCTAAGTTTGAAGTTGCTGTTATTAGCTTTGCATTTCTTGTTAAACAGCT